ACAAAAAAAAAAAAAAGAGTCAACTACATGCCAGACAGAGTGACACATGCCTCCAACCCAACTATTCGGGAGGCTGAGGCAGAAAGATTGCAAGTACAAGGCCAGCCAAGACCCTATCTCAAAATAAAAAAGTCAAAAGGGCTGGGGATGTCGCTCGGTGTTAGAGCACTCCTGGGTTGGATCCTCAGTACCACAAAAAAGAAAAAAAAAGTCATTTACCCCAAGATAGCTGGTGAAGGTACATCAATGCTATTTTGTGAAATAATACTACTGAGCAAATGACCATAAAGTTGAGCCCCATGCTCCAACTCACGTTCATGGTTCCGTTGATCTCTGCCACCGACTCATCATCTGTGGGGAACTGATAGATCTGGACCCCGTTGCTGACAAGTTCACTGGTGATTTTGATTTTGAACTTTGTTAGGTCACTCTTAGAAATGGCATCTGATTTGGCAATGATGGGGATGATGTTCACCTAGGGAAAGGAGGAAAAACGTAGGGTCACTGTTGGTAATTGGCTCCTGATAGCAGCCTGTCTTGTCACTATCTTGTCGTTGGGATAAAATACATGCCACCCGCAACTGAAAGGACAGAAAGTTTATTTTGGCTCATGGTTTCAGTCCATGGTCAGCTGGCTCCAAGACAGAAATTGGATGACAGAGGGCAAGGCAGAGAAGGTGCTCAACCTGTGGTGGCCAAGAAGCAGAGAGAGAAGAGAGGAGCCAGGGAGGGAGATGCACCCTTCCAGATCACCTCAGAGACCCAGGTCCCCTGACCAGACCCCACCTCCCAGCAGCGCATTCAACCATGAATGCACTAAGGGGCTAATCCACTGAGAAGTACATTGCCCCGTGATCCAATCACCTTCCCAATACAGGAGGCTTTGGGGGCGCATTTTAGGTCCAAACCACAACACAGCATGTCCTAGGATTTCCACCAGCTGCTAGAGGGTGTAGCTTAGTCCACCAGTCTAGGACCGGCCACCTCTGCAGCCAAATAACACGCTAATAAACAATAACGAGTACTTACTATGTGATGGGCACTGAATTAAATACTTTATATGGATCAATACAACCTTGACAATAACCTTCCCATGAAGTATCATTATGACTATTTTACCAATTGAGACAATGAGAGGTTAAGTAACTTGTCCCAGGCCAAGAGCAAGATAAGTAGCAGAATTGAGATTCAAATCCAAGTTTAGCCTTATTTCTAATTCCATGGTGTTGTTAACCATGAGTCTCTACCCATTCAGATCCAAGGTGATGAGCTGTGTTGTATCTTGGTGTGAAGGTCACTGCTGAGGTGATGTGAAGCAGAAAGGTGACACCTGGAAATCTGTGGCTGATGAGGGAAGAGGTGGCAGCTCCTTGTGTTCTCTCCACCCAATACAGCTGGGCTGGCCCCGGCCAATGTTCTATGGACCCTCATGGGGGATGGCAGGGAAGGGAGGTGTGGGCTGCACCCAGGGAGGACACACACCTGGCTATCTTGCTGGCAGCAGCCACTTAGGGAAGAAGACTCTCCCTGTTCCTGATCTGAGACACACAAAAGATAACGTTACACTGTGGGTGCAGTGGCACCTATAATCTCAGAACTTGGCAGGAGGAGGCAGGAGGGTCCTGAGTTTGAGACTAGCCTGCGCTACATAGTGAGATCCTATCTCAAAAACAGAGAGAGGGGCCGGGATTTAGCTCAGTGGTGCCACCACCTGCCTTGCAAGCACAAGGTCCTTGGTTCAATCCCTGGTACCCTCCCCCAAATAAACAGAGAGAGCAAAAGGGAGGGGAGGGGAGAAAATGGGAGGGGAAAATAGAGGAGGGGAGAGGAGGGGAGGGGAGGGGAGAGGGAAAGAGAGACTGCTTGAGTCCCGTTATGAATTTATGGATGAAAAAAAACAGGTGTGCTGCTACTTGGAAGGCTGAGGTAGAAGCAGGAAGATTGTAAATTCAAGGTCAGCCTGGGCAATTTAGCAAGACCCTATCTCAAAATAAAATCTTTTTAAAAGGGCTTCATAAGACAGGCAAGGTGGTGCTTGCCTGTAAACCCAACACTTGGGAAGCTGAGGCAGGAGGATTGCCATGACTTCGAAGCCAGCCTGGGCTACATAATGAGTTCAAGGCCAGGCTGGACCACATAGTGAGGCCTTGTCTCAAAAAAAAATTAAAAAAGGAGAGTAGGGATACAGATGTAGCTCATCACTCCCTTGATTCAATCCTCCGCACCCACACAAAAAGAAAATTAGGTGTGAATGCCCAATTTCAGAGAAGAGAAAGGGTTAATGCCACCCCAAGGTTCACCCCACTGGAACCATGATCCTTGAACTCCCTTAGCTTTCACGTCAGAGATAAAGAAAGTTGACATACTCATGGCTTGGTGAAGCAGAGCACCCCCAAGCTCAGGTTCCCATGGAGAGCACAGTTGTGCCTGATAGTAGACCCCAGTGGGGCGCTCAGGCCCTGGGCTCTGAAACAGGGGTCTGAGAGCTGTAGACTTGGAAGAAAAGCCCTGTTCTTTCCTACTTTGGCTTAGGAGTGCCTCTGGGGACTGATACCACACAGGGCTTCAGGACAGGGGTCAGAGAAAGGGTGGGCCTTGGAGGCATTTCCTTTGAATTCTCTGGGGAGGGTGTGGGGGGGTCCAAAACCTTTTTCAAGGTGGAAAAATGGGAAGAGTCAATTCTCCTTGTCACTTTTGCCAAGTCCCCATCAGCATACTATTAAGCAGGCCACTAGCCACACGGCTCACTGCTGTCCCATACAGAGATATGCCGGGCATGGTGACATTTCAAGAGCAGTCAATTATTCATGAGCGGTGAGCTTGTGAAAAATGAAAAGAAAATTGCCCCTATTCTTATTATAGCTAAAATTCAGTTTTTATAATGGATATGCTACCAAATGACTATACGTAAATCAGATTTTTGAAAAATAAACAAGTATCTTAGAATCAGAGAGAGAGCTGGGATCAAATTCCAGATCCATTATGAGTTGCCTGGCCTTGAGCAAGCTACTTGCCTCGATGGGCCTCCATTTTCTCATATGAAAAATGGGAATAATAGTACCTACCACACTGGATAACAGGAAGGATAGAATAAAATAACACATATAAAGTAATCATCATAGTACCTGGCACACATTCAATGTTATAGAAAAAAGGTGTAGTAATTAGGCTTTTAAAAGAATCCTATGGTCAACTGGTACAGCAAATAATCCTTTAATGCAAAGTCTAATTTATATGTGGTATGGGATTTTCATTTTTCAGTTTATCTTAAAGTAGGATGTGCCTGATGCCCAAAGCCACTTTCTGAGGCAGAGAGGCAATATAATATAGTACCACAGATCTGGGTTCAAATCTAGGGTCTACCCTAGCTGCCTACAGACAATGGGCATGTCAATGAACCTGTCAGAGTCTCAGCTTTCTCCTCTGTAAAATGGGGTCGTAACAGTGTTTACCTCACAGGGCTGTGAGGATTTGATGTAATATTCTATGAGGTACTTAACTTAGTGGTGGCATCTATTGAGGGTTTCAGAGATCTGCTATTACAAAAATTAGCAGTAACTCTCCAATCAGGTTTGCAGATGCGATTTAAGAACACGCCACTTATTATTGGGACAGAGAAAAAAAAAAAACATCTTTCCATTGCCAACGCCTGAGCCTCTGGAGCTGGTCAGCAATCTTGCTTGCATCCATCCTTATTTTCAAGAGGAATCAGGGCAGAAAGACAAAATCAGGGCAAACCCATTCCCAGTACTGGGAAAACAGATGGCAAAGCACATGACACAGGAACTTGAATCTGTAACACTATCTTTGTGAAGGGACAGAGAATGAGGGAGAGAATGAGGATGCTACGAAACCTCTCCTAGAATCCAATATCTATTGGGTACACGCGGCCTCCCACCACCATACCTTACTGTCCAGTTTCTTCATTGTCACTAGGTCCAGAGACTTCAGTGAATGCCCTGTGGGAGCGATGAAGTACAAGCAGGCGTGGATTCGGGAGTCATGGTAGGTGTGCAGCACCCTTCGGATCTTCAGCTCCTCCTGCAGGTAGGCCTCAAACTGCGCATCGATGAATTCCACGATGGGCTTGTAGCTAGACAGGAGAGCGGGGAAATAGCTGGACTCCTTGGAAAACTTGGACTTTGACACCGTCACTTTTAGAAATGTAAAGTGACTTCCATAATCTGACTCTCCTTCATCCAATTGGATTTCTCCATCTGCCCTCAGTGGGCTTCCAATCCCATCAGCCAAGGCCACCTTCTTGGTCCCTACATGAGCTCCACTTATGCCCACCTGTGCACCTTCACGCTGGCATGAACACCTGTTTCTCTCTGCTCAGTCCACTCCTCCCCATCCACACATCGGGACTCAGTTTAATGCTAACCTCCTTCCTATATTCTTCCTCACTTATGTCAGAAACCCCCTTCTGTGACACAGGAGCATTAAAAAAATATGATATGAGGACTAATGTTCTATCAAATCGACTGGGACAGGACCTATGCAGGGCACTTCCTATTCTCCATGGGGCCCTAAGGCCCTGTGCTTCGGCTGATTTTCCTCCATGCTGGGGCCATTTCTGCTCCCTGCATCGTGCCCACCATGCCCACCATGCCCACCATGCTCGGGAGTCTTGTCAGAATGCTGTGGGGTTTTTGCTCTTTCTTGCTAGGTTGAGTTTAGTGCCCCACTCAGATCTCCTAAGGTCCAGATATTTTTCAGGTTCTCATTTCCGCCATGGATTTGACTTTTACTGTTTGTATGTTTATATGTATGTATGTAAGCAGGCATGTAACACTGGGGATCGAACCCATGGCCTCTGTACTTGAGCTACCCACACCCCCCAGCCCTTCTGCTATTTTTCTATTTTGAAGCAAGGGTTCTTGTTAAGTCTCAACTTCTCCTTGTGCTGGAATTATAGGTGTGCACCACCATGTCTGTCCTGGTTGTGACTTTAGAATATAAGTATTCAGACAATATTTAGTAAAGATACTCTCCCCAAACCCATACATGTGTGTCCCAGCTTATTTAGTGTCCATGCACAGCTTCCCTAGGTAGCTCCCAAGTCTCAGGAAGACTTCTTTTCTAAAATTTAATTTTATTTTATTTTTGGTACCGAGATTGAACTTGGGTCTTTGAGCTTGCAAGGCAGGCAGCGGAACCACTGAGCTAAATCCCAGGCCTTCATCAAGACTTCTTTAGCAATGGTCAGCCCTCTGCTCCACCCTGGCCCGGGCCTCCCTGGGAAACTTCCATTTTCCCTGCCCTGTCCCCACCCAGGCTGTCCCTGCCGCCCCTACAGCCTTTTTCTGCTCTAACTAGGTCAATTTAGCTTACGCCCACCTCCGTTCTCATCGGCCCTGTCTGTACACTGCCTCTCCGTCTAAGGCGCTGCCTCCTTTCAGGGAAAAAGAGATCTGTCCCCTGGGTCTGGAGCAGCAGACTTTTCATATACCAGTGCCAGAGGGAAATATGATCAAAGAAGAAACTGAGCCCAACCAAGCCACCCACCTGCAGCAGCCCCATCCTGAGCCTTTTTGAAAGAGGCCCCTAGCAGACAAGGGGAAAACAGCATTAAAAAAAAAAAAGAATCACAGAATTCTAGATTCTGAGAGCTGCACAGAGAAGAGATCCAGGTGCAAGAATCCCAAAGAAAATCTCAAAATATAGTCCTTTCTTTCTTCTTTTGATTCCTCTGAGCCAGCACTGTTCTGAAGGGTAATAGCATCAAAGAATCTCTTGGTGGCAAGGTCTTTAGAAGGTTCCTGAAGAATGTGCAGTGAGGGTGGGGGCAGCATCTCCTCGGCTCATCTAATTTCTGGACAGTGGGCTGGTTTGAATGATTTGATCTTGACACTGCTGCTTTTTTTTATCCATTACATAACCTTTTCCCTTTGTGTTTTTCCTTTGCAAAAGGGGACAGAAGCAAGAAGATAGTAGGTTTTTTAGCTCACCCCACCCTGAGTTTCCAGGATACCTCTGCTGATCTTAATTGCTGCCACCTCTGGCTCTGGCTTTGAAGAGACGCATGGATCAGACCAGCCAGAGCAGCCTATCAGCCAAACAAGACTCGGTTCAGGGGAACCGGAAATGGTGACTCATCCCTACCTTAGTCATCTCGGGATCCTCAGTGCCTGGCCTGCTGTCTGGAATATAGTGAGGGATCTGCCTACCACTCTGTGCTCCCCCACCCTTGTCCCCATGGCCCTTCCCATGGTGGCCATCTCTGTCCCACACTGCTGGGCTCACTAGACTCCAGCCCACGGGCCACAAAACCCTTACTCCCACAGGCCACCTCCTCACCAACTGCTGCCTTACAATGAGTGATACCTGACTGGCTTTCAACCGTGCACCCCTACTCGTGCCATGCTCAAGTTCCACGGGGAGCAGGAGAGGGCAGCTTTCTTCTGGCCCCTCTCCCCTGTTTACTATGATCTCTCCCATTTCCAGCAAAAACCAGCCCATGCAGACTCTACCCTTCTCATCACCACACTAATCCTTTCCTATTTAAGATCTGAGTTCTTAGCCTGGGGGCCACAGACTTCCAAAGGGTCTGTCGATAGAATTCAGAGGCTCCATGAACTTGGATAGAAAAAAGTGCATCTTTGCCACTAGTCTTTAACTGAACTTTAGCAATTTCTTCAGTTATAAATGTAGGTAATGATCTACGCGAATGTTTGCAGCATCTGTGATTTCACAGCCAACAGAAATCACTGATATTTTTGTTTCCTACTGCAAATTTCTCAATATTGCATTCATGCTCATTGTAACTTCCAAACTCTGATAATTATTAAGCCTACATATAGACACTGTTATTTCAGGAATAGAGAAGCACATAAATTATTAAATCATTATATTTAAATATTTTGGTAACTCTTTTTAGTAAGATTGGTGTGTGCGTGTGTGTGTGTGTGTTTCTTTTTTGAAGCAGGGTCTTGCTATGTGGTTCAGCCTGGCCTTAAACTCAATATGTAGCTCAAGCTGGCCTCGAACTCACAGCAATCCTCCTGCCTCAGCCTCCTGAGTGCTGGGAAGTAAAACTGATATATGTGGGCATTTAAAACTATTATTTTAATAATAAGCCTATAGGCCACACTAGACTGCTAAAGGGGCCAAGGCCACAGTGCAACCTCTGGTCTAGATTATATATATTTTTTTCTTTTTCTTTTTGGCAGTGCTGAAACCAGGGCCTTCACACTAGGCTACATCCCCAGCCCTTTGGCTTTTTTCTGTTTTTTCTTATTTTGGTACCAGGAATTGATCTTAGGGCTTCACACTTGCCAAGAAGGCACTGTGCCACTGAGCCATATCCCTGACTCTGGTTTTTTTGTTTTGAGACAAAGTCTCACTACATTGGTAAGTTTCCCAGGCTGGGCTCATACTTGCAATCCTCCTGCCTCAGCCTCCCATAGTGTTGTGTTTGCTAATACATCTGGCTTAGATAACACTTCCTCATTTATTCATGTTTAAATATTTCTTCATGCCCTAAATACTTCTTACATGCCCTATGAAGATACTACAATATGATAATAGGATAAAAAATGACAGGTTCAGCTACTTTAAATTACTGATCAGGGGAGGCTTCTCTGAGGATGTGATATTTGAGCTGTCAGCATGAGAATGAAAGAGCCAAAGAAGTTGGGGGTGGTGCATGCCTGTAATTCCAGCACTCTGACAGGATGAGGCAGGAGGATTGCAAGTTCAAGCCCAGCCTCAGGAGCTTAGCAACTTAGCAAGATCCTCTCTTAAAAACAAAAATTAAAAAGGGGTTGGGGATGCAGCTTAGTGCAAAAATCGTGGGTTTAATCCCCAGTACCAGAGATTATCTGTGAGGAGAGCATTTCAAGGAGATTGAATAACAAATGTAGTAATGATCCTGAGGCAGCTTGATAAGTTTGAACGATAGGAAGACAGCCAAAGCCAGAGATTTAGTTCAGTGCTTCTGCCATCTGCCTTGCAAGTGGAAGGTCCTGCCTTCGTTGCCCAGTACCAACAAAAAAAAAAAAAAAAAAAAAAAGA